CTGCCACCGTGCTCTAACTAAGCTGCCGCGCTAATCGATAAGTTCGCACCAATCAATAAATATCCTCACTCCATTGATCTTCATAACTTCTTTTCCCACAAGATATGTTTTCATGAAAAAACGCTGCCGTTTCAGTAGTTCAGCAATCTCCGCCATAGCATTGACAGTGTGCGAAAGATCGAAGCTCACCAGCTCCTATATGAAATGATTTCAGTAATGTTATAGCATGTGACAACAAGCTTATTGAAGGTCATTTAATGAGAATAACTGATGTATCTATTTTGAGATTATTTTGCAATAAAAATCCAATTTGAATAATACTCATGTTATCTTGAAGCAAGGCGATTTGGACACGCTACACACAAACATATCAAAGAATACTGGGCGTTCATTTTGAACTCCCTCTTCACCAATATTTAAAAAGCATTCTCACAATACATTAAAGAGTCAATACTATCAGTGGTGTCCAATACCTCAACAAGAGTATCTGAGATTTTTATTGCATCAAAAACATGTAAACGTTTGAAAGGAGAAAAACTTTCCGCAAAAATAGTCTTCTCGGCCCGCGCGATGCCTTCGTTGAGCATTTCTTGTAAAGTCTTTGGAAATAGTTTGCTTAAAAACGGTATACCATTTGTGACTCTCATCAATGCATTGAAAACCGTTTGATTATCCGACGACGTGATTTTCTTTAGGGCAACCTGTTAAATAACTATAAAAAGGGGAAAGCAAAAGATTGGTAGCGCTGTTGTACCTTGAAGTACTTTTCATCATAGTGTAAGCGTAACTTTTCAAAATTGGGAACCTCCGCTTGTGCCTCCGGTACAAGTGGACAGATCCTGCTGAAGTTGTGCAAAACTAGCGATAGTAGATAACAAAGATCAACTTTGTAACCTTCTGATAACAATCGCGTAAGATATGAGCGTTACATACTGAAGCGATGCCATCTAGTAGACTGAGCAATAAAGAGTATTGTGCAAGCGAATACTGAGCAGAAATGTTCATGATAAATAATAACGAATAATTCGCGTGGTGCCTGAGTCACCTTTTTGTTGTCGATGTTGTGGATGGTGAGCAGTGATAGTCAACCTTTCAGCCTTAACAGAGACTAAAAATGATCCTACCGTTTCAGCAATGGACGATTAGCATACAACAAGCTTTGTTGTAATTGTCATGATTACGTAGTATGAAGATGGAGTATCATTTGGACCAACTTCATTGATACCACCATATTATTAGTTCGAATGAGTTTTCATTTTTGAGAAAAAAACATTAGCAATACTTGAAATAAAGCGCTTTGTCGTATGCATATATGTGTATATAAATATATATATATATATGATTCATATATATACAAGTATATATATATATATATG